TTTTGGTTGTAATGTTCGGGTTAGGTAGGCAGAATAAAAACGTTCATATACTGCAGAACTGCAGAAAACCAGGAGATGCATTAAACAGACAATGTATCGTTACAAAGTCTGGCTGCTTTGTGAGAGGGACAGATCAAGACTTTTGCACAGCAGTAAAGGGTTAACCAACGCTCTGAGGAGGCTCCACATACCCAGCATGAGGACCACCTTCTTCAGTTCTCCCTGTTTGGCTGAGAGGTAAAGCTGCTTGGGGTGAAAACGCAGCTTCTTGGGTCTAACAGCAGAAACGAGAAAGAAGAGATGCATCAGATCATGTCTCTGTGGTGTAGATAGAAGACAACCCTACTGTGGACTGGCCTACTTTTCTGCATCAAGGGCGACCAGGACGCTCTCTAGAGTTTCTTTTGTTGTTCCCAGGGGGAGTGTAGGTGGTGCTGTGGTTCCAACTCCAGGCTGCAAAGATGATTGCCTGGATGACTCTGGAACAGCCGACTCGTTGATTTTCTCGACAGGGAGCGAACTGTCGGCTCTGCCGGTGACTTCAGCAACGGGAGCCAAACATGAAGAGCTGCAAAAAAAGAAAAGGAGAAGAACTAAATGCTTAGCTTAGTTTTAACCAAGGATGGAAGCTTTGAAATGAAAGACGGTGATACAGCTGGAATCTCACCTGCCAGTGGTCGTGTCTGCTCGGCCCTCAGGGGCCCCCAGGGCGGCTGGCCCCTTTGCCTGTGCTGGAGGAACGGTGGATGTGGTGTCGGCCTTGGCGATGGTGACTTCCTTGGCCTTGCCTGCCTCTTCTCCGCAGTGCGGACAGAAGCTTTGACCTTTAAGCATTGACGCACACGCTCGATGGAAACGGTGAGAGATGCTGACGTCCGGTTGGCATTCCATGAACGTCCCCTGCACCAGAAAAACACAACCAGAGATTGTTCACTCCTTCACACACTGCAAAATATGATTTAAAGTGAGTTAATCTAAGAGGATTTGCCATCGAAATAATCTCCAAATTGCCTTTAAAATAAGATATTAATTATTGTCCACCAGAAAAATTAAAAAGATTTAAATATACCAGACGTGTATGGAAGTAAATTTGTATCGCTGGGATTTGAATTAAAAATGCCACTGAAATTTTAATGTTGTTTTTTTTGTACTTACTGTTTCAGTGTTAAAATATATTCAGAACACATTTTTGACCTGAAAAAATAATTATTGTCATTATTTCTACACAGTTGAAATTTCATGTTATTTTCTCTTCAAGCTAAAAATTCACATTACTATTTCAAAGTGATTACATTTTCAATGCTTATTATTATTTCAGTTAAATTTTTCAGTGTAAAAAAAAAAAATCAGCATATAAAAAAATTCAACCTTTTAAAATTCAAACTCAATATTTTCAGCCTCCTGAGATTCAACTGGCTCCATTTCACTGTCTTAAATTCGGCGTCTAAATTCAGTGTAAAAAGGGAAGGGTTACTTCAGGTCAAAGACATTAGCAATGGATTGTGGCGTCCAACACCCAGCCAATCCCGTTACGTTTTCTTAGTCACGTAACGTGACACCTGTGCCGCTCATACGGAAGGAAAACCAGCATCGCGGAGACGGTCATGCAAGCTAACGCTAACTCAACGGTGAGTTTATTACTTACATTTTTCTGTAGATCAGTTAGCGTTAGCTTGGATGACCGGCTCCGTGATGCTGGTTTTCCTTCCGTATGAAGGCACCACAAGCGTCACGTCACATGACTAAGAAAACGTAACGGGATTGGCTGGTTGTTGGACGCCACAATCCATTGCTAATGTCTGTGACCTGAAGTAACCCTTCCCTTTTTAA